TTTGACTGAAAAGGAACCGAGTTCTGAAGCTTTGTTTGCTTGTCTGTGTGATAGTTATTCGTTCATCTTGAGAATTGATAATTTATTTAAATCTAAGTGACACATTTCACAAATGCTTCTCATTTCTTAAGTGACCTTAACTTTGGATTGCATTCACTTAGAATCGGGATTTTATTTTTATTTCCTCACGCTTTTTTGGGACAAATGGCCTTTGCAGATAGACGGTCTGACTAAAAGACTTCTTGAATATTGAGTCAGTCAAGAGCAAGAGTAAAATATAATGATCCTTTTCATTTTAACGTGAAAAAATTAGGGTTTTATATAAAATGATTGAACTGTCAACTACTACTCGCAGTCTCACTGTCATATTGAGTTCTTGTGGGTTACTTAAAATTTAGTTCATACAACAATAGATACTGTGACTGCTTCTAGTATCTTAATAAGGTAAAGACGAGTAAATGCAAAGTAATTACTTGTTTAGCGATCCCTAGGCAAGGTAAAAAACGTCACATGGAAAGTATGATTATGCACGCATATACATATGTATGGTGCCTCGTATGGTACCACACATGTGTATACACATAACCACACGAGGTACCACATAAATTCTGACTATTGTAACTGACATCACAGGATATGTTTTAGTTCTAGTACAGAAATTGAACTAAATAAAATCTCTTAAATAAATAGCGACCCTCGCCAAGATACAATAAAGTGCAATTTAGGTCGTACAGCGCTAATCACCTACAGTTTTATTAACATAGATCTTTATATGAACGAAACCGATGGCAAAAGGCTTCTTATCCAATCTTCTCACTCTCACTGTAGCTCTCATTGGAAATTATTAAATAAGAGAGAAGCTCTTGTGTAGACTGTTAAAGGATGTCGCATTGGGAGCCACTGTTATTAATATTAACAAAATATTTGACACACATATTTTTGGTTAATTTAAAGGTGCCAGAAAATTCTTAAAATTATTTAAAAATCTTGCATGTTTAACCAAATTAAGTCAAATTCTCTGACGTATACTGTCTTATAACCATAAATCAATTCAAGTGCGAAACAGTCTTGTAGCTCGCGCTTGCTCGTTTTTATACCGGCGCAGCTCATAACACAATGCTTGATTAGAATGTTAATTACCACTGAGACACGAAGATATGTTACGTACTTCATAATTGACGGATTAGTAGTGTGTGCCTGTTTTATTACCTCTTTTTATGGTCACAATAATTGGCCGCCGCAAGCAAACGTTTATGAGAAAATTGTCGACGAAGAAATTATTTTCAACGGAGCATTACAATCAGTTTGTTTTTTTAAAGCTCTGTGTTATTAAATCCTTTTTGATTTTTTTAATGTAAGTGGTTCTTTACGATAACAAAAGAAATATTATTTATATGACCAAAAATATAAATTTTGCAAGTTGGAAGCCTCAGTAGAAGAACAAAAAAATGACGATTCAAAATAGTCGTGCGATTTTAATGATAATAAAGAAAATTTATTTTTATTTAGATTTTTGATACTATTTGCTGTGACTAAGTATTTTTTAACAAAGATTAAAAAAGTTAATTAAAAAAATACTGAAATCTTAGTTCGTGTATGAAAGTAAAACCGGTTCTTGATTACTTATGGTAGGTCAGTGTTAATACCGGTTAAGCAGACATAGCCAGATGTTGGTTTTTTTCAAACAATAGAATTGTGTAAATATTGGACTGTCTGGACTATGCTAGGGGCCTTCTTATTCTATTGTTTCTGCCAGAATTTTTCTAGCAGTGAAGAATGTAGCGAAGTGGTTCCTACAATCCTCTGATGTATACCTATGCCTGTTAACTTACTTGGATTGAAAGTACATCCGTATATTTTTTTTTGGGGACAGAACTAGACAACTGAAATTAAACTTAAAATCGAATCATAGCTTGTGTAGGAAGACGGGGGCTGCCCTGATAGATAGAAAATTATGAAAGACCCGTAATAAAACACAACCAAAGAATCAAAACTTCACTTCGTCATTATTCCATATTAAAAACAAGTTATTATATTATTTTTCACTGTCTGTGGCTGTCTTAGGAAAATATGTATATTTTGCTATGGACACCTACTTCTCGTCTCGTCTTTGTTTCCATTATTATTTTATTATTAAATATAAAAATGAAAGAAAGACGAGACGAGAAGCGTACAATATTATAATAATAATAAAAAATGAAAAAATATCCACATAATAAATATTATTGATTTAATACCGAAAGGTCTTGAAAAAATTATCTTCTTAACAGGTACAAAATTTTAATGATAAAACGGAGGCTATACTGAAACGTGTAGTATACAAGTGGGTCACCGGGCATGCGGTGTCAATTGAATGTAAATGCGCAAGCGCATCTACGATCTCATCCTTTGTAGGGTGACTATGTGAGTTGACACTTACTGGACATTTTTTCTTCTTTATTTTCGTGGAACCATCAGTCTCCCATGATATGGTACTCATAGATGTATAAACATCGGTATTACATATTAAAAACGTTTAAAAGTTTTCATAAATTACTAAATGCCAGTTTTAAGGTAGATAAATGCAATTTTCGCTGTCTGTGGAGTATTCAACTTTACGTAAAGTATGTATAAGGATCAATTCAAAGAAAAAGAAGCGTGGGAAGAAGACAACATTCCTGGCTATCAAACTTGCGAGGGTGGTTAGATTGCTCTACAAATAAATTTAACAGGAACGCGGTATCCAAAACTTGAACAGACGTGACGTTTGCCAACGTTCAGAACAAAGATGGCACTTGAAGAAGAAAGTATTCAACAGTCCACAGACGGCTTGCCCGCTCAATATCGATAAGTATCTACACCAAAATTATCCCGCATGAATAAATTATGATTGCACGGATTTCAGTGGTTTAAACGGTCACCTCGACGCTTCCTACTGCGCTAGTATTGTGGGTTCTATTCCCACATGGAACAACACTTTGTGTGATCCATAAAATATGGTTCTGAGTCTAGGTGCTTTTTGTATCTGGTTTATAAATGTCTGTAAAGTCCCCCGCGGCACAGGATATATTTCTAGTGCGGGAGTTGTCTTTTATAAAAAGAAAAAAAATTAAAATTAATATTCTATGATGATATACATTATTAATTACGTTGTATTCGACTGTTGTCAACAATTAGTGTGCTGGAATTTTAGTATTAATTAATTGGAATAGGGGATGACTAATTACACACAGAATGTAATTCCTATATACGACTGAGTAATACCCGTTGGTACGCAAGTACCAAGGAGGTTATGTGTACGTCGCAGTTATCTGAATGAAATTGACGTGATGTGTGTTGGAGTACAAAGTGACGTTACGAATATGTGGTCAGTATTTGTCATGAATATGACTGATGCTATATGACATATAGGTAGATACTTTCTTGATCAAATTACATGCATTTTGTTAACCGTTTCCGCATTACAATATTTTAAAATAAATGTACCAATAGGTATAGGTGATCCTTTGAAAAGACGAGGTCCGGACACTGTTAGATCCGAACAATTCAGGTAGCTTACACAATTTAAAGTTAAGACATCGTACAAAAAATGCTAATAGATACATGTTTTTTAATTTAGTTATCATTACAAGCTGTTAAATTATACCTAGGTAAGAGTTTAATTTCCTAGGAAATTAAAAGATCCCAAAAAAAGGTGTAAGGGGAAAAGAAAAAGTGATGTCCCATGTGGGGATCGAACCCACAACACTAGCGCAGTAGGAAGCGGTGAGGGGACCGCTTAAACCAATACGCCATCCCTGCCACGTCATTTTATTTGAGCATTGTCATTGCTTTACTTTTTTTTTATTATTTAATATCAAATTAACTACTTAATGTTTAGTGGTTACTTACAGGGGTTTTCCTTGCATAATAATTAACAAGAAACTGAATTGTCCCACATATTAGTGACGCATAGTGTACCTAGGCGCCCTTGCGTGCGCGCACAGTATCTAGCACTCCGTGCCAATGTCGCCGCTTGCGCAGTTTTTTCTTATTTTTTGTCACCCTTGAAGGTCGTGTACCTAATGTAAAGCCTCGCGTGTCGGGTGATGAATTAATGTAAACAAATGACGCCATTTAAAATGTGGTTATTTGTTGTTGCGATGAATATTATTCATTAAAAAATATAGTTTTACTTGCGTCTCTTCAAAATTTGCATTATTTTGTCAGTCCAATGTTATAATATTGTCCAGTATTATATTATTAATGCATTATAAATGAAAGTTTTTTTAAAAGTTTAAGTTCTAATATTGTACTGATTGGCTTGTTTCGTAGAGATATGTTTTGTAATCTGTTTTTTTTTGTTTTATTCATTTTTTATTAATTTAGGTATATAAATGAAGAATCGTGTGAAATATTTCACTGCTTTGTATCGAATACAACAATCATTTGTGATACACAAACGGGCAGATGTCTACAACCTATTATCATTCAGTCAAAAGTATACGAGCTCGACTTCGGACGGTTTATGGTTATTAGATATTGTAATTGAATGCCGATATTTAATTATTCCATTGTAATCGAAGTAGATCAATAACTTGCAAATATAAAACAGTGAAAATAATAGGGTCTCTTCAAACAGATATAAATATGTAGTAGCACGATGAAAAGGCTTCCAATTTGCATTTAAACAACCATTTACGATTTAATAATACAAATAGTAATGAAGGAGCAAGCGAGAAAATTTGGATTTGCTCGACTCCAATCAGGAAAGCTCGCCGACGCTGTGTGATTGCAAGTCCACGGCAACCCTTCATTATATTTACGCGCCATCATTAACTGTAATCAAGTTCATCACATACGGAGATGAACACATAAAATAAACACTTACCTATAACACTAAAAGGAAACCGCTACAGTAACAAAGCCCTCCGAAAGACAATAAAAACCAAATAAAAAAAATAAAAAGGTAAAATTGTATAAAGATAGCCTATGGATAGAATTGCCAAATACAAAAATGTAAACACGGATAACATTTTGAGTTAGGGCAATTTAAAATTTGATTTTCGAAATAGAATGACAAGTGCGGAAACATTTGAACTCCCCTCGTGATTAGTATCCCCATGCACGTCGGTGCGGGCGAGACTCAGCGAGTCTTGTGCGTGCAACCCTTCATTACAACCTACGTCTATTATGGCGCAATCAAGCTCTCGACACATACGCGAAACTGAGGAAACAATAAAACAAAATTGACGTATAAAACCACTCCTTGGACTAATTCCAACCTGAACCACTAAAGGTCTGTTGTGTAAAATATATTGGACTATAATTTATGAGCATGTTCTTGAATACCCTGGGTGCTGAGCTGTAATTGACAAAATCGATGCGTCCTTTTGCTTAAAGAAAATATATTAAAACCTAAAAACATTTCTCATCGAGTCAACACAATTGTTCAATTTACTTGTTGTTTTGTTAGTCTCTAACCTTTATTTATGCAATATGTAATAAACTTTACAGCACTGAATAAAGATTTGACCAATTCCAGATTATAATATCATAGCTAAATTAGATTATGACAATCAAAGAATTTCCACCATAAACATGTTTAGAAATCGAAAAGCGCTCGTAAAACAGAGATGACTGCTTGAATTGCTTCCTCTTTTATAAATGATGGAGACGCACAAGCAATAATTATTGACGTGTAAAATTTACACTGACACACCTTTATGGGGCCCATAGTATCTATCGCATAGTAGTATGAAACACTAGTGGCCATTTACAACGATAGTTTACGGCCGATGTTTGCGACATGCTAGCTTAATGGACTTTATAAAGTTAAAACCTTTCACGCGATCGCCTTGATAATGCACCCGACGTATGAATAGGTGATCTTAATTTATCTGTGAAGCGTTCCGGCTAACACTCGGTATCGGCCGCTAATCGAGTCACCGGTAACCTGCATGCGATTTATGAAATCGATAACGATCCATCGATAACGGATCCTTTGAAGATACGACTTTAATTAGACTTTTTTATTTATTCAGAACAACTTCCGTTTCAATGTAGATCACATTTCATTAGATTCGTTTTAGAAAAAGTTGCTTTTAAACGTACTTGAATTTATCATAATATTAGGAATGGATCACACATAAAAATACTTTGATAAAAACTTTTGGATACTTGATTTTAAGATATTGACAATGGTTGATTGAGGCCATTTTTTGTCATTAATTATTTGTTTACTTAATTGTTCAACCGTAGCGGCAATGACAACACCGACCTTTGTTTTTTAACATTTATGTTTTACGTCTACCCACTACAAGTTAAATATGTAGGTACTTTAATGTTTCAAGAGATTGATTTTATGGCATTGGTTTCAATTTTGAAATCTTTTTATCTCAAATTTTTTTACCTTGTTACTCTCACGCGTTTAAACTTGAGTCAAAAGTAAATACCTATGTAAGCTTTTTCTACCTATGAAAAATAAATTGAATAAGTACTCACTGTGTGGCGGCGTCAGTGATAACGCGGAGACAGCCGGAGGTACTGGTGGGAACATGTCTTGATGTGGCGGGAACATTCGTGGTGGCGGCGGGACCTCCGCTTCTGGTTCTTCTTGCTCTTGTTTTGGGGGTGAGCGCGGTCTCGACAATCGCACTGACTTTAACCCTCCACTCGGGGAACGTCGCATAGACAAATTTTCTGGAGTATCCGACTCTCCTGAGCGGCGTCGTGGACGTGCTTGTTTTCGCCTGGGTTGTGGACTTGCCGGGCTAACTGGTGGCGACGGTGCCGGCGGTGTCGTCTGCACTGGGCTCCTCGCCAGTGGTGTTGGTGGTGGAGATCTCACGTGTTCTTCACGGTCCTGGTCTGCAAGACCGCGCACTTGTAGAGATTCTCCTGCTCGTATCACTGTTCCGAGCTGCTCCTGTGCGACTGACACCTCGCCACGATACATAAAGTCCACCACCGCCTGCACTTCCCATCCTTGGAAGTCCTTTAATACGATCACAGGGTGCCTGCATGGGTTCTCGCTAAATATCCTACGAAATAGAGGACTGCAGGCACCGAGAAGCACCTTATGTGCACGAACGCGGCGCTCGGCGCACACCAGTGTCACATCCACCAGGTTCTCGGCGTGCAGCAAGGCCTCGAACGAGCGCAGCAGGTGAGCCTGGTGGTTGTTCCAGCGCAGACTATAGTGCTCCTCGCCGCCGACGGCGGTCGGCTTGTCGTCCATCGCGCGCGCCGGTATCAACGCGTGTGTCGGAGCCGCGATGCGGTCCAGCAGCGGGCGCGTGCGCGGCTTCGCGCCGCCCTCCGCCCGCTTCGCACCCCGCTCTCCCCAACCCTTTCGTCGCTCAAAGAGTCGCCTTCCCGCCGGACCGCAATCTTCGCATTGCACTATTCCGTTTTAGTTCACACAGTTTTTTTAAACAACAGTCGTGCACTGAGTCACCTTAAAGTTTGGTAGCACTGCACGATTCGCGTCGCTGCGGATATTCGTGTCGAGGGTGGTGACAGGAGCGAGGACGGCACGTACGTGTGTCGCGGGAGACTCGCGAGCGCGGAATGAGTTGCCGAGACGAGCGCGCGGTGCGGCGGTGTCGCGCGAATGCCGAATATCAGCTCGGAGTGCGGTCGGCGGGCACTGGCCGCCCGCGCCGGTGTGGGCCCGCCCCCGGGCCCCGCCCCGGCCACACACACACACGTACGGCACCAGCCCGCGCCTCCACACCTACCCGTGCGCCACCCCCCCCTCGCCCCGCACACCACACATGTGTCACATTACTCGAATACCTACACACATGTGACGCCTCCTTCACAATATATACTTTTCGAATACCTACGCTCTATTTATCTCACGGCTCTGAAGGTTTACATCGACAGCTATATGACACGTGTATAACTCACTGTGTTTGTAAGGATGTAAAAAAAAGGGCTCTCGAGATTAGAGGCGGCGCGAGGCCGGTCAGTTTCGTTATTTAAATAAAGAAATTGACAACTTTTTGCACAGGAAACGCGATATTGGCGCGCATCCTTAGTTGACTACTGGTCGAGCGAAAATTAGGCCATGTCCAAGTTGATGCAAATGCATGAAAACTGTACTTAAAGTGAGGTAGAGAGTTCAGTATACGTTTAGATATTTTATTTTAGAGGAGTACCTACCTAGGTACGTTGGTGATATGCGTTTAGGTGACATGTGTTTCAGATCACTTTAAGTAAAACAAAAATAAAATAGATAGATTATTTAAATCGTTCTAAGTAGGTAAGTATATAAGTAGGTAAATAATACAGAAAAATCATCCTCGTAACAATAGGTGTTTGTAGTTTAAATAAACCTAAATGAGTAAATATATTCTAAAACTCTAAATTTAATTTGATTTCGTAGTTTTTAGTGTTAAATATTACGACTATATTTACCAGGCCTGCAGCAGCTCTAAGAACACAGTCCTATACAAGCATCTAGATGGACTAAGTTTATTGAAAACTGGTACCTGGTAGGACTTAGGGCAATGTGAGACTAAACCTGATAGGAAAAAACATTTTTTGAGCCTATGTGTATCTAAATTAACGTAACATTATTTGAAAGTATCAAAAGCAAGTAAATCATAGGATATTTGAGATATATTTTATGAAGAGATATATGATGGCTGCACGAATGGGGTAGTGGTTTAAGTGGTCACCACGCCGCTTCCTACTTCCCTGAGTGTTGTGAGTTCGATCCTCATATGGGACGACACTTTGTGTGATCCACAAATTGTTGTTCTGAGTCTGTGTGTCCTTTGTGTCCGTTTCACGTATGTTTGTAAAGTCCCCCACCACATAGGATATATTCCTAATGCGGGAAATGTATTTTAAAAAAGTGTGAGATACACGCAGCCTGCTGATACCTGGGCGAAGCCTGTACTATGGTGATCAGTAGACATGGAAATTATTGCTTCTTTGAAATCATATTCACATGGTGAAATGATTGGTTCCACTCACAACTTTTGCAAATGTGATTGCGATTTGCTTATGGACAAAGATAAATGCCATTCAAATAAATATTATTTTTAGATTTAGACCTTTTGCAAGTTAACGCTAGCGTAATTAGTAATAGTAATGAGTCGCAGTCGTTTAGTGAATTATTCACAGGTGTGATTATATGATTTATCACAGTTGATGGCGATTTTATTACACCCCTAGTGACCAGACTGCTGATAAACATACATACTTATGTCCCTATTTCTAAATACACACACATTATGGATAGCTTACACTCAGACACAGAACAAATATAATCGTTCTCATCATACAAATATGTCCTAGTTGTCCTGGGTGGGAATCGAACCCACCATCAGCTCAGTAGGTACTCAGTATAATTAACCGCAAGACCAACAGGTCCGGTCGATTTCTTGTGAGTACACATAATGCTTAATTTATTTGTTGAATGCTTTAAACTAAATGAGATTTTAATGGCATTCCGAACTTATATGTAATTGTGGTGTTGTATGGTATGTATGTCTGTGTGGTGACGGATTAAGAATACGGAATGTCACTACCCCAATCTATTTAAATAAACCTAAATGTTTAATTACCAATGTACACAGTCATCCCGTGTGTGTCCTAAAAGCCGACACCAGCACTGCAAAAAGAAGGAAAACTTGACACAACCAACCCGTCTGGCCAGCGTGGTATAGTAGACCAAAACCTCCTTTCTAAGGAGAGGCCTATGTCCAGCAGTGGACTATTAAAGGCTGTTGATGTGATGGTATGCATAGCTAGTATATGAAGAAGAAAGTTTTTTAAAAACGTTTATTATGTAGGTGCTAATACTTACAGATGATAATTAATTAGCTACTTTATTAATTACCTTTTGTTTACTGCTTAGTTCTCTTCTCTGTTTTTCTATCACTAGGGCTCTATAATTCTATCACACACCTACCTACATTAATTTGGAGGTTAAAGGCACTTTCTGTACCTACTTTTGAGGCCTCTGACAATGTAGGTGTGTATACCTATGATCTACGTTTCTATGATGTTCGGTTAAGTAGTTACGCGTGAAAGGGTAACACACAAACATACGAATTAACAAACAAAGTTACAGACACTAGTTGTAGTAGCATTGGTAGTACAAATGGTATTTAGTTCTGTATACATTCATACAAAACCAAAAATACTATAAAATATAATGCTATCTATGTCAAAATTATATACCTACATATATTCTTATTGCTCTCAACATCGTTAATATAAAATGGTAGAAGCTGTGGGCATTTATTATTTTTGTATCTAATAGATGTCAATTTTACGCATATTAGTTCTTTAGACATTTATTGACCATACAATTTTTGTGTTCCTTAAAAATAAAACATATCGAAATAAGTGGGTAAAAAATAATTGTGTAGGTAAAACCAAAACCACACTAGTATTATAAAGGCGAAAGTTTGTGAGTATGTGTTTGTAGGTTTCTTACTTCTTCACACTCAAACGACTGGACCAATTTTGTTAAAAAAAATGCCTTTTTTTTCGGTGGTACGGCGGTAGCTGACACTCTAGATTAACACATAGGCTACTCTTTATCTAGAAAAAATATAGTGTTCCCGTGGGATGAACAAGGAATTGAAATATATTTGCTACTCTTTCCAACCGCGGGTGACGCCGCAGAGCAGCCGGTATTTACCACTCGATGAAGATTCCCGTGTACTTCCAAACATTTTATTTTAAATATTTTACAAAATGGGGGAAATAAAAGTATGTTTTAATATGTTTTAAAACAATTTTGAAATAGACAATGGCGGTGGAAGGTGACATGCGTCTGTTGGCGCGGGCTCGGGACAGGTAGGGGAGACCGAGGGGAGTTGAAACAATTTTGACATTTTGTTTCATACACCAAATACTATAGACAGAAATCGTATGATATTAGTACCAATCAATAGGTAATTCTTTACACTTGCGAATGACTAACATAAAGAAATTGTTAGCCTTAAATATTGTGGTGAAAAATCGACTTAACCGTAACAAGTCAACTTGTTTCAACTCCCCTCATACCGAGATAAGATGAAACAGGGGCCGAGGAGAGTTGAAACATATGATTTTTGAGAAGTATTAAGGGATGTAAAATAAAAATTATGATATAATTTAAAGGTATTTATTAAAATAAAAAATTGTAGAAATAAAAGTCTTTAAAAAATTTAAGAAATATATAGAAGACTTTTTCTTGCATCCATCCTGACCCATTCGCAGTGCCAAGTGATCCAGTAGGTCCATCGCGTATAAAGTGATCATTAAATCTTTTCCGCGGAAAGATGAACAACGGGGATATGTGATTCCCAAGGGCATTTCCTGCTAGTGTTATAGTAACCAATGTTCCCCTCTCTGCGGAAGTCATGGCACTCACTTGTTTCTGTCCTCGTCGGGCAATGACACGGTCTGGTTTCTGAACAGTTGTGATGCCAGATTCGTCAACGTTCCATATATCCCTCCCTTGTAACTTGTGTTTGTCAACTACTGCAGTATAATTTTGAAAAAAAAGTTGCACGTTTGTTCTATTAAAACTTGTAGCTCGAGCGATACTTGTAGGTTGAGGTAGTCTCAGAGAAAGAACAGGTTTCATAAAAGATCGAAGCCAAACCTCTACAGCCATTTCATGCTCAGTCCAAGAAGAAGGAATTTTTTTATTATATTCTACAGCCAACCTATAGGCAAAAGTTCTGGCTTTCTTAGTTCTTAGGCCAAAGTTAGCAGCAGCGCAGTTCAAAAGATAGTCACAGAGTACCTTCTCCTCTGAAGCTGTAAAAACAGTATTTTCGGGATATCCAACCGTTGGAGCAGTCACCGCTTTGTTAGCTTCATAAGCAGTGTTTTTTTTTAATATACCTGGTACAGGGAGGTATGGTTCAGGTTGTAACTCGAAGCCGCGTCACGGAGACTTTTCTGTCGCAAAGTTACTTCTTCTGCTGCGAGATCATATATTTCGCGACTCGCCATACCCCTGTCAGTCTTTCTTTTATAATCAGTAGGCATGCTGAAACAAAAACAACAAATTAAATCAACAAAAACACATATTTCTTTTGTGCTAATTATTTATTGACTGCTGTTTGATATGAAATTGAAAACGAGGAGAGTTGAAACAGCCTGTTTCAAATCTCCTCAGTAAGAACAAACCTCCCAATTTTTATTTAATCCACAACCAAGAAGCAAATACACAGAAATCAATAGTACCAAATATATATAATATGTCTTTAGTTAATGAGCCTTCGAAACATATATAACTTAAACCAAAATACAAAACCCTTATCATAATATAGGCATCGTAAAAAGGCGTTAAAAACTTACTTTTCACGATTTTTGTCTCATGGCACGCAGATCTTCACAACCGCGCGACTTACGCCACCGACGCGAACTGACACGTCAGCGGACGGATGGAAGTGGTTAAAAAGCGACATTGACAACTCGCTAACGGTTTTAAGTTTCTAGAAATCCGTACTGTTTCAAATCACCTTTGTTTCAAATCCCCTCGGTCTCCCCTACACTTTGAAACAATGAGAGTCTGACCCATTGTTTCGTAACTTTACCTGTGACTTTATTACTATTACCTATGCGTTACGCACTTACCTGAGCATTTATGAGCTTAGCTGTGCACATTTTTTTATATTGTACTGCATAACATGCGACATATGCGTGGCCTAGCCTTGAGTGCTGATTTCAATAATAAAAAGTTACGTTAAGTAAGCAAGAGGTGCTCGTGGCTCAATAGTAACAGAGTCAGTCAGCGCGTTGGAACTGGCCAGGTCAGGTCAGTCTATGGATGGGTGACCATTATTTACACATTGAAACCTAAACTTATGTATTTAGAATTGTTTATCAACAGTCTGGTTACTATAGTATAGGCTTTGCCTGATTCGGGATTATTAGAAGCCCCTGTGTGAGAAGTGTCAATTTATTACAAAATATCAAATTCATTATCCCAATATGCGTCATAAAAAATGCCGTAGATATGTACTTTTGACATCGATTAAGTAATTGTTGTAACTGTCGGCTTGCTGACCTATAGGTAGGTAAGCCGTATACTTGAAGCATTATAGGCAGCCCAAGTAATGTGGACTCCTTAGCATTAGTTAACTTTTTTATTTAAAAAGGCCTTATGACAAGTTACCTATAATCTTTTTTCTTTTAAAAAGACAACTCCCGCATTAGGAATATATCCTTGTGTCACGTGGGACTTTACAAACATACATGAAACGGAATCAAAGAACACCCAGACTCAGAACGAAAATTTATGGATTACACAAAGTGTCGTCCCATTTGTGGATCGAATCCACAGCACTCAGCGTAGCGTAGTAAAACACTACGCCATCCGTGCAGTCTATAAGGGGCCCGTGTGTGAGATATGTCACGTTATTATTATTAATATCACCTTCATGACAATAATATGCGTCATACAGACATGCCGTGGATATGTACTTTTGATATCGATTAAGTTATTATTGTTTTTGTGACAGTCGGCTTAATGACCTATAAGGTAGGTACCTCAGACACTTGAAGGATTATAGGGTGCCCAAGTAATGGGGACTCATTAGTGTTTAGCATTTGTTATCTATTTTATTTTAAAGGGTACTTTCTTATGATTTGCAAAATAATATTGGACTAATGATAATCTCACTCCTCGCAACTTAAAGTTGGATTCTATTTTTTATCCAAGGTCGCAACAACAAGTATTTTTAGGTAAAGTTTTGAGTTAGTTTAGTTCAAGTCTCGCTTTATGCAAACTTTTATGGATGTGTGAAACAGGTTTTAGTTAATTATATACAAACTAAAAGCTCAAATAACATGTCATCACATCACCACATTAACAGCCTTTAATAGTCCATTGCTGGACATAGGGCTCTCCTTAGAAAAGAGGTTTTGGCCTACAATACCAAGCTGCCCAGACGGGTTGGTATAGAGTTTGCATCAAGTTTTCCTTCCCTCTGCAGTGCTGGTGTTCTGCGTAGTTTTTTTCCCTTAGTCGGCTCTTACGACACCCACGGGATGAATAGGGGTGGTGACACTTCGTATTCTAAATCCGTCACCACAAGGATTGACATGTTTTTAACTTTATCTAGAAATAATTATATTTTGGTCCTAGAATATTGTTATTACAGTTACCCTTCTGAAGACCCTGTTCAAGATATAAATAAAGCATCGTAACAATTAAGGGTAGTGAACAAGATCACCAAAGCGCTATGAGTGAAAGACTTATTAATAAGTAAGTGATTCAGCTGTGAAATTGTGATACCCTCATCATCGGTCTTTGTAATACCGGTTTAGAATTGTATCAACCATAGTTTTTAGCCAGTTTTAGCTTAGGATGCACGGAATTCTTGTTCTTCAGATAAATACTTCAGGTTTTTAAATTTGAAAAGTAAAGCGGGAACAATCGCCTACAGGCATCTTTTCGATGGTCAAAGTTAATGTTTGTAGAATATGTACCTACCTATTAGATAGTTTATATATATATAGGTAGGTATATGTATTTTGAAGTTGTATTTTATATTTGGTAACATGCCAAATTTCGTCACCATTTCATGAACTGTACCTACTCGAGTGCACAAAATATGATAAGTGTATGGTATGGTATACACGAAGCAGATAACATTTTTTTCTTTTCTTATAAAATTGATGACTCATTTTTTTTTAATATTTGGATATTCGTAAGTAGATAATTAAACATATCACTCCTATACATTCATTATTAATAAACCAAAACTTCCCGGAACTTAGGAATTCAAGACAATTAAATTTAATTAACAAAATATTAAGGTCTCACACATTATGTTAAGACCGTGAGTCCATTCATATGCATTCTTTTGTCGTGAATTCCTTAAACTGGTTCTCCTAATTGTTCGAAAGTTTCCTATACAATGTGGCACATATTATTATCTATATAATCCCTTTACCTGGCCCGTTTCCCATCGATACTTTACACGGCATACGGTGTGAAGTCCGTGCGAGGGCGCGTCCAGAATATCCACTCTTACAATATGTTAGAAATTTGAATTGTATATCTTCTTATCGTCACATTTTCAAAGAAAATAAAATATTTAATAATAAAAATAATATTGCGGTTTCATGTTAAACAGGTTTATGTTCACCGAAGCTAAGATTGTTGTTGTTCTACTACATACTTAAAATACTTTACTTTGCATGTTCTTTATGTCCAATGTTCCCTGCATGGGACAGAAGCGTTCACAGCAAGTCTTAACCGGTTGACCAATTGAGCTCTTGACCGGTTTCGTGCCTCGTGCTTCACCTCACTCCACGTCTTCTAATATATATTTAGCCGTCATCAGAGATTTGTGTTCGTAACGAACTAGCGATTAGTCATGCCGATCTTAGGATCAGTGTCACACAAGAGTGATAACTGAGTGGCAATTTTTTCTTGCAAGTATATTTATCCATACAGGTAATATATCCAAGTTGTACTTTACGCCACCGGTTACCGACAGTGACGTCATTGGTGCGTTGCCATTTCCTAGATCTAGAGTTATGGCGATTCTTTTCATCATTATAAGTAGAATATTTCACTAACCTAAGACTGCGGAGCGATTCTTGAAACGCCCGGTTATTGAAATCGCCTTTCGTTTTCGATAAACATAGCTTCTTTTAAATCTATATTTAATAATTTTCTGTAAATTCAAAAAGAAAAATAATTGTATCGTAAAAATGCGTGGGG